AAAAAAAAAAACCCTACCCCCTCCAAAAAAAAACAAAACAACCAATCAACCAACCCTGGTTGGTTACTGACTAGCTCTATTTGCTTGCTTCTCCTGCCATTCCATGAGGACTAGGATGTTTTCATACTACATGGTATCAGCATAGTAATGGAAACATAAAAAGGGGAAGTCAGGAACCAGGCTGATACAACTCAAAGCCACGTGGAACTTGGGACCACACATGAGTTTTAAAGCAGCAACCTGAAGCTCAGCGAGAAGGGAGCAGGGAACCAAGAAGAGTTTGGCAGATACCTGCAGGTTCTCAATGCAGAACTGGTGTCCATACATGTCAATGGCAGACAGGAAGATGGACTCCACCTGGTTGTGACGCAGCTCGTAGGACGGCAAATGGGAAGCAATGAGAACCTGGCAAACAGCAAACACAAAGCGTGTGGGTGAGGGGAGCTCTGCCGGGCCACAGGCAGCAGGCCGTAACTCCAAGGCAGCAATATTCTGCTCCACCCAAGCAAAGGCTTCTCCTGTGAATTCGGTGGTACCTGGGTGATGCTGCAAACTCCCTCCCCTCCCCAGCCTCATTTGTGTATCCGCTCGGTTTGTATTATTGGCAATTCCCCACGGAGAAAAGGAACGGCTTCAATCAAGTTCCATCAGTGCATGTGATTTAGCACTGCAGAGCTGTTAGTCCTGGGGATTGCCTGACCGGCTGTTAATTGGAAAGCAGATCTGGCAGGCAGCAGCTGTGGGGAGGCCAGCGCTGGAGACCGCCTCGCACAGCTTCTGAGCAGAGCAGGCAGAGCTGCTGGTGCCAAGTATTAAATGCCCAACATGAAGGGTACGGAGATGGGAAGGGGAAGCAGCTTGCGGGGGAAAATGAAGTGAAGGAGCAACATAAAGACATCCACAAGGACTGCAGCACTATCCCCAGCATGCTGCTGAGAGGTTCAATAACTCTGAATGGTTCAAGGACACAAACACAATCCTGAAGGAAACATAAGGTCACTGAGCAGCTTCAAACACCACATTCATTTTCCACAGTCAAGCACTGAAATAAAAGGAGAGATCCCCATAGTGTCAGCTTCCCTGCTGAAGACTTTTAGAATGGAGATTGGGACTGTGGAGTGAGAGGAGTGATCAGACTGTGGGGTCAGCCCTGTGTGAAGTGATTATGCCCTCACACTCCTCCCTGGCTACACACTCACTGCTAACGAGGAAGCTCCCAATAATATACAGGTGGATGTTCTGACATCCAAATTAGTACCTGTACTCTTGGATATGACTAAAGTTTTTCCAATTACTTTCAAATTAAATTAACAAGAGTAATTCAAAAGCTAGAAAAAACTGTATTTAAAAAAAAAAAAAAGAAAGAAAGAAAGAAAGCAGCAACATATTCATTGCAATAACAATAATTCCTTAGGAACATCTGATTCTCATGTAAATTTCTCTCACTGTTCTCTGCCCCAACTGATTCCCTTTTGTAGGGCAGCTGCTGAACCCAGACAGCACACCCTGGCTGTTTGCTGCCTGTTCCAGGCAGCCTGTGCTTGGCAGGTTCACAGGCTACAAAGCCAGAAGAAACCACGGTGACCATGGATTTTGTCTTCCCTTAACACACAAATCAGTCATGCCTTTTTAGGTCAGATAATACTTTTGGAACGGGGACAGAGGAATGTGGTCCTAACTCAAAATGCAGTGGCTGGGAACCCACTGATGCGATTGGGGGCTGAGCCCAGCTGCAGGAGTGCTCCTCACCTGCCGTGCCCGCAGTGCCACCTTGGCATTGGTTGTCTTGCTGAGCTGGGTCAGCTCCGTCAGAATATTGATCAGCTCGTCTGTCAGGGTGGGGTCACGGCCACAGAGCTGGTCCTGCAAACAGAGAGAGCTGAAAACACTGGAAACGGAGAAAACCATCCTCCTTCCTCCCACCAAGGGGCTTAAACATGACTTGTGTACACACACATGTTCTCTGATGCTGGCCACAGAGGTCTCTGTCTGAATTATTCTGTAACTCTATGTCATCAAGGGTGGAAGTATTAGACTTTCAGTAAGTTCACATATATTAAAAAAATATATGAGAAGAAAAACCTTTGTGCTATAGGTTAATTTCCCTGGCAGGTTTATCAAAGAAAAAAAAAAAACCAACAATCAAAATAATACAAGTTCCACAAACCAAATAATAAATAACAGCACATGCCAGGTGCAATGCTACAGCTAACTAGCCAGCCTCCTCACACAGTTCTGAGCCCACGCCAGCGTGATGCCATCCCCAGGAACGATGCCATACACCTCTCAGAGACAAAGATCAAAACTAAGGTTTTGGTTTTTAAAGTGATCTATGTGAGCAACTCATGAGGTTGTCATCCAGGGCCAGCAAACACTGCAGTGACTATTTCCAAAGAAAGCTCTGTGAATCTCATCACTACAGACCAACGTGTGAAAGCACAGCATATAATTTCACAGCTGCCTTCGTTGTACTTGAGGTCTGAATGCCTGGGTGCTGCTACGTTGCAGCTCAAGGCAACAAAATCCCAGCAGGACTCAGGACACAGCAGCACAGCATCAAACACGGGCGCTGTGGCCCAGTTACAGCTAGGATGTGCATACAGCAGTCAGTTAAGTACATAAAATGAATACACAGCTTCAAATCGCACTATATTTCATCAAATACATGAAAGATGGAGTAGTTCCCATCCTGCCTTAAACGCCTGCTAGCTAAAAAGGTGAATGATGGCAGCATAACACCATTACTAAAACCATCCTCAGAGCCTCTTGTTAATAATGGATTCCTAGGGATACATCAATAACAGCAACATAGCATCAAGGTGTTCTGACACGACATCTGCCCTTGGAGGACAGCTTCACCATCGCGCACAAATGGCCTGGCAACCCAGAGAACACCACAGCCTCCGCCACCATTACCAGATGTGCCAGGGGGCCCTCAGACATGAGGAGTAATGTGAAGCAGAGGGGAGGCGAATGATGGTCTCTCAGTTAACAGAGTGAACTGTAATTCAGCAGAGCAGTTCCTCGCTCTGCCATAGACAGCTCGGTGCTCAGAGGTATGCTGCCCTTCTTCAGCCTCTGACACACACCTGATGTGAGCAGTCCCCATCACATGGCCCACGTGAGGGCCCAGCAGAGCCCACACAGAGGTACCTCAGCTGTGCCCCTGCCGCGTGCAGCAAGGTCTTCCCAGTATGCTTCAAACTGGGATGCTGGCCTTTAGCTGAGATGAAATATCTGACAGTGCTGAGAAGAAAGAGCACGCACAAAAAACAAAGGAAAGCTCAGGTGGTTTTTCATCTTCTGCTCTTCCTGGCTCCCAGCAAGCTCCTCGCTCCCTCAGACATTCTGCCTACCAACCCGAAGACACAGCAAGACTCCATCTCTAAGACACGGCTTGCATGGAGGTGAACATCTAGACAAAAAGTTCCAGTCCTATTTTAGCAAGAAATAATCAGGATGACAACAACAAAATAAAGCAGGTAGCTGGCTTTTGCCTGCACTGATTGGCAAAGGCAGTGAGCAAAGCCTCAAACCAGCTCTCTGACAAGGCCTTAACGCCTCCCCGGCACCCCCGTGTAATTACACACTTGAGTGACTGGACTCTGAAGAAAATTGAAGGCCTGAGCTGCGAACAGCTGCCATTTTCTCTCTCCATCACGCCAGCATGATTACTTGAGAAATGAACAGCCCCGGCTCAAAGCTACTCCAGAATTCTCAGAGGAAATATGGCTCCGTGTTCAAATAATGAGATTCTTAAGGCAAGCGTTACTTACAATCACACCACACACCAAAAAGGAAAGGGAAAAAAAGGAAAAAAGGAAAGCCAGAAAGAAAGAATGCCAGGCTCCTTATATCTTACAAATTAGAATTTAAGAACCCCAGCCTCTGACCAGGACAATTATGACCCTTTCTATGCTTTTGAGAGTAATTTTGTGGATGGCTACTTTGGAAATACTTTTCACTGTAACAGACCACGTTTTATTATTTTAAAAAGGAAAAAAGAGAAGGAGGGGATTGGAGGGGGGGTAATGTTGTAATTAGCCTCTTAACAAGCAGTACACCTAACTCCAGTCTGTGCTGGAAATCACGTTGTAGCTAAATCCATCCTGCCCTGAGGAATGTGGATATTCACTCTGCTTCAAAGCCTTAAAGTGGAGGAAGGATTTTCTGAGGCTTTTTAGGAAACACAAAAAGAGAAGCAGGACTCAATTGCTGGCTTCCTGTTTATTTTTCTTGCAAATGTAATTTAATGGGGGGGTTACCCATTAGAGAGCAGTGGAGGTTAATAAGAACAGAGATTTTCACAAGCCAGTGAGAACACGGATGATGATGGTAGATTCCAGCATAAGGATTTCTGTGTGTTTCTAAGCTAGAATCTGTGTCCAGGAGATTCACCATCCCTTCCCAAGCCCCCTGGACAGCCACACACAGCATCCCAACGGTGAGACACCTTGCCTGGAGTGACCAGCTTTGTGCTGAGATGATGGGTCCCAGCCAGATCCTACCACACAGCCCAGAGTGCAGCTGGTCAGAACACACTGCAGCAGATCTGCCACGAGACACTGAGCCTAGAGCCAGGAAGAAGGTAAGACAGCAACTGCTAAGCCTATGAGATCAAACATGGCTCATCAAGAGAAAGTGCATCCACTCTTGAATGTCAATACAGGCTAATGCCATTCACCGAGAAGAGAACTGGAAGAAATTCCACATTGCTGCTGCTGCTGCTTCAGAAGCTAGAAAGTTAGCATCTTTAAGGATGAGAGGAGTCAATTCAGTACCTTTCAAAGCATTAAACGTACAGTTACAAGGAGAAGCAAATTTCTAGAGAATAAATAGACAACTTACAATGAGCATTGTGACAAGCAGGTTCTTCTTGGTGACCTGAGCATGTGAGAAGATGTAGTTCAATACAGCATTCATGTCGCTTTTATTCTCCTCCCGAAGAGCAAAGACACACTTGTCATAGTGACCTGCAATCAGAAATGCACATTTTTTCAGCCTCCAAACCTCTGACATGGAACACACGAGACTAGATGTGCCTATTTTTTTTTCCCCACATACATTTTTCACATGTTTTGCATGATCTACGCAACCAGCTCTGGGATGAAAGCATTCCTCCCAACACATCTGCCCTCAACAGAAAATTTAAAGCATCCCATTCTTATTAAAACAGCCAAAAAACCAAATTCCTCCCCTGTGATTAGTTCAAAAGAACAGAATAAGAACAGAAAAAAGACTTGCACCATCCTCTACCACCAGCAAATTGAAGTGGAAGTGAATCTACAGTAACATTACTGTAGTAATAGGGGCAGGACAAAAAAGTGTAACAGAATCTAACTGAATCTAACTACCTGTGAGAACTAGAGCCTCAACATCAGCCAGTGCATCATTGCCACCTTGTGCATGGACACAGTAATGCAATACACTTATTTCAATTGTGAGTCAAGCTGAGGGTTTGAGGTTTGCTCTTACGAATGCTGAAAAAACCTCTGTGTTATTTCACAGCAGGTATTTTCCTCTACAAAAAAAAAAAAAAAAGAAAAAGAAATCTGAGAGACCTTTGAAAGAAAATCCAGGTGGCTCAGCCTCCTGGATTTGTCTTCCTTGAGGAGGGTAAATGGCGAGCTGCTGGAATCAAATGTGGGTTTTTCAGAAATCAAACACTTGAGAGAGACTCACCATGCTGAAACTGAGTCTCCACCTTCAGATACTGACGGAGCAAATCCATTACCACTGCCTTCATGTGGCCCCGAATACCACTCCGGTACCTGTGGAAACAAACAGATCAAACCCAGTGCTCAAGCTTGATTTAAGACAAACAGGCTCAGGTCTTTCAAGTAGAAAAGGGAAACTGGGAAAAAAGGAGAGGAAAAAGAAGGGAAAGGAAATAATTAGGGATCACCCCTGAAAACAGCTTACCTCTGTACAAGCTGCACAATGCTCTGAGTGTTCATGAAAAAGACCTCACGCTCTGATTTGCGGTTCAAGGTGGCTGCATGGCTATCCAAGATATTGGCAATCTGAAACAGAGTAAGTCTCATGACAGCTCCTGAACAGAAGTGAGACAATCTGGCTGACAACTAGTGACAACTTCCAGACAAAGCAGACCAGAGCTTTAGCAGACTCCAGAAAAGGCCAGAGCCTGAAACTACGTAGGAAGATAACGACGATACAAAAATCAAAGCATGACATTGCATAATAAGGAAATCATCTTCCAACACCTCCTTGACCAGGCCTTCTTAGTTGCACTCATTCCTTTTTAAGGTTATATTGACACTAGAAATGGCAGCGTAGCACACGTACCAGCCAAAAAGCAAGTAAATAAATGCCCACAAGGCCATTCTATGATTAAACTCTTCCTAATTCTTAAGCTAGCCTCTTTAAAGCTACAGTGAGCAGAGAACACACAGCCTTCAGCACAGGAAAAGGCAGCAAATAAGCTTAAGTGATACAATCAGTATCTTTCATCACGAAGATTCTACATTCAAATGCATCCTTAAGTCCATCTGATCTCCAGTTAACTTAAAAGAATTTTCTCTTTTTACACCAACACAAACCAGTTTTGACCCCTTTATACAAGTGTGGTTGATCACCTGTTGGCTGGGAAACTGGCAAAGGACTGATGTGATGTTGCTGGCATATTGGGCCATCTCCTTCTTGATGGACTTCTCCACGTTGGGTGGGATGCGTCCAGAAACACTGGTCATGATGTCCTGAAGCTCCAGCAGAGGCAAAGATGGATCTCTCAGTGTCTTCATTAGTCGCTCAACCCAGCCCTTCACCTACAGACAAGTCAGCATAGAGGCAAACATAAGAAAAAAATAAGCAGCAAGAAGGGAGAAATGGAAAGGTCTCAGTGAGGTCTCTAGGACTCTGCATCACACAGGTAGCACAGGGGCTAACCACGAGAACTGGAGTAGCTGCAGTGCCACCTTTCACCAATAGCTTGCTCAGATTCATTCACCTTCATTCCTCCTTCCTCCAGACTTCCTCCACAGCTGGCTATGCAGGTAGCTCATGCTTACAAGGCTGCAGGCACGAGCAGTAAAGCTCAAGCTCAGCTCCTAACTTACACTCTTTTTGGGTACCACAGATGGAACTCTCCCATGTTACTCTCTGCTGAGACTGGCTATCAGGAAACGTAAGAAAGAAAACCAAGGCCAGCCAGCACTAGCGGCACAGTACTGCTACAGTCTTGGTCCTCTGGCAGTGATGTGCCAACTGTCCAGCCTTACATTCAATAGAAAGAACATTTGCTCCCTGTCTGAGCTAAGAAGTAACTGGTACCTTGCTGCTGAAGTAGGGCTCTGGCAGGCAGTACCCGTTCATCACGTTGACCAGGTTATCCAGGACATAATGGAAGATGCGATGGAGTTTCTCGCCTCGGAGTGCTGTGCTCTGGATCTGAGGCAAGGTGCCCGTGTGCAGTTCAGCCTGGAAACACAGCAAATACCACAGTGTCAATAATCCTCCAGTGATCCTCAGCCAGAGGCTCAGAGTTAACCTGTAAGAATTCCCCAAGTGGAAAATGCTCATGGGGAGAGAGAGACAGAAGTTATGAGCTGGATCTGCAGCAATTCCAGGTTATGTTCACCCACAAAAAAAGCCTCCAGCCTCTCTCTAAAATATGTTTCAGTTCATTTATATCTCTACAAAAAGTAGAGGAAAAGCCAGCAGTTCGATGCTGACAATTACTTTCCACCCCCTGCATGGCAACTTCTCAGTTTCCTACTAGCTATTGCTAAAGGAACAATAAATTCTTTTCCACTGTCACCAGCTACATCCCAGGCTACGAGGCCTAAAGAAATGCACGTTTGCCTTTCACCTTAAAGAAGATCCAGATTTGCTACAATTGGCAGGGCCTGACACTCTTGGAGTTGGGTTATCTACTCCTGTCCTCCAGAAGAGGGCCAAAAAGTAGTAAAATAAGATGAAAAAAGAAGTGATAAAAAAAGAAGTAAAATAAGCATGCAGACAAATAAAGCAGATGTAAAGATCCAGCCAATCTCCAGTATCACATACAGCCATGGACCCACAATAGCTTTGAGGTAAGAAGAGAACAAGCATGGGACAAAAGCTTTGCCTGAATCAGAGGACCACACGATAGTCTGAGCCCAAATCACCACGAGACAAAGAGTATGGTGATGTTTCCAGTACAGTGCACAAATCTAAAACTGGTTCAGCCCACTGGACCATCTTATAGCACTCTCAGCATTGCTCCCCTATAAAAACACCACAAAAATCTGTGCTTCCTGCAACTTCTCACCTGCTGAACCCTGCTGGGATCATCCAGCTGGAGTTTGGCAATCACACAGCCTGGATCCAACACTGCCCCAGGGCGTTTGACATAATGGATGCAGCCTGATTCTCCTGCTGTTAGTGTCATCACCATTTTCATCACCTGTAGCAAGGAAAACAGGTTACACACTCAGCTTCAGTAGTCCACAAATGGTTCTAGTTTTGTGAACTAGCAGCCAATAGCCTACCACAGACAAACTAACCTGCATGAGCACCTTTTGCATTCAGTCTTTCTCAAAGGTCTAAAAGCACATACACTGTGAATGAAATTCCAACTTAAGTAAATAGAACAAATTACCAGGACACAAACCAGTGCAGCAGGAAGCTGCTTGGACCAACGGGTATTTAAGAAGGTCCTACATTCAACACAGGGAACAAAACAGATACAGATCATTGCAGCTGCTGCACTCTCATTGTTTGAAATGCAAGAGCCACTCTGTAAAGCTACAGTAAGATACTGTGCTAGCAGAGGAAATTAGGATTACCTTCCAGGGGTCACAAATCTCAGTCTGCCATTCACAAATAGAGATGCTCCCACAGTTTAGCCACAGAAGCTCTTGCCTTTAGAGCAGAAGCATTAGGCTTAGGGAAAGGCAATCTAGTTTTACTACTGCTGTAGCATATACCACAACTGGGAAAACAGGAATTGAGTAGGTGGTGCCTCTTTAGCCATGGCTCTGTTGCAGCATAAAAGCATTTACATGAAAGTATCCAGATCTCCGGCTTGATATTCTTCTCCTACACAATCTTCCCAACTAGTTTAATTGCCCCTCTGCCAACACACCCTCCCTTCCTTCATATCTGTTCACAGCCATGCACTCCTACTCGACCTTTCATGCTTTCCTCACTATGGTGCAGCAATTGTTCTTCACCCTCCTCCTCTCTAAGCATTAAGTAACTTCCAGGGGAGAAGGCAGGAGTGACACTTATTTTCAGCTTAATTTGTCTGATCAATCTGATAAATGATCAGGTGATCAGAGAAGTCTTAACTTGTTCCTTAATACCACCATATGCCTCTTCTGAGTCTCCTTAAGAGCTAAGTAGTGGTTTACAAAAGGAAAGCCTTCTTCACTGTACTTAGAAGACATGGTACACTCTGCTCTGGCACCATGGCAAGACAGTAACTGTGGTCTCACTGCTGAGAAATTTTACTTATCACTTAGTGAAGTCATTAATGCTCAGATTTCGGCTGTTAAAAATTTCTCCCCCACCAAATTATTCCATTTGCTGATTCCTGAATTAGTCCAAATTAAAACACGGATAAAATTTAGAAAGGAAATGCTATGAATTACTTCTCATTCTCATTTTCCAGTTCAAGAACATTCAACTTTTTTTTCTCTCCAGCTTCTGCCTGGACAGCATCAGCAACAGTTGAGACTTTTACCTCTATTTCTGCAAAGCATTGGCCTGCAAACACGTGTCCCCCATCCTCCACCACATACTGGATAAGCTTCCCAGCCGAAGGTGAGCGCAGAATGGAAGGATCATTTTCCTTTTCAAACACACAAGTCTTGTTCCCTATAGTGATGCGATACCTGGGGAACAACAGGTAGAACAGAATCACTGAACCATTCAGGTTGCAGAAGACCTTCAGCACCATCAAGTCCAACCATCCACCTCACAAGACAATCCACTGCTAAATCACAGCCCTACACCCCACGTCCACGTCCTTTAAGTGCTGCCAGGGAGCAGAATGCTACCGCTCCCCTGGGCAGTCTGTTACAACACCTAACTGCCTCTCCTGTGAATGAATTATTTCTGGTATCCAACCTAAATCTCCCCTAGCACAACTTGAGGCTGTTGACTCAAGCCCTATCATTGTCACCTGAGTAAAAAGACTGGCATCCACCTCACTGCAACTCCGTTCAGGCAGCTGCGGAGATTTCAGTCTGCACCTGAAGTTTACCATTCATGTGCTGTGGTTAGCTTACAGCATCACTGTGTTCTGACAGCAGATTTAAAAAGCACTCTGAAAGGATACCAGTGTCACTCCAGTCTCCTTTTGGAAAGTTAATCCAGTGCACAAGCATCCGAGCCAGCAAATATTTTAGATCACAAACCATGAAGCTTTGGGAAATAGGAATCTGAGCTCCTAAACGACCCCCAAATCAGTTCAGCTAACTGGAGGTCAGAGTACTGGGTCTCTTACAGGTGGCCATATGCAATCCAAAAGGGCAGGAGATCATGGGCTCCCTACTGGTGCACTTACACAGGAAAGGTCTGAATGCATCCCAGACACACGTTTCAGATGAAAGCAACTTCTCCCTTCAAACTCATCAATAATAACACATCTAGGAATCCCTTCCTAGGAAACAGTTCCATTTCCAGCTGTTCATCAGGAAGCATAAGGCGAGAAGTACACCTAATCTGGACTGACACACAGATGTTATACAATAAACTACAAGCTGTTACCTGTCCACTTCTTCTTTCATGTAGGTGGTATAGCTGCTACCATCGTAAGACAGGAGCAGCCCTCCGTCGCTCAGTCGGTGCACATCAACTTCCACACAGGAGCTGTTCATGATGACCACGTAGGAATTAGGAGACTGTCGGGTCACCTGCAGATCCACAAGAACAGGAGGTAGCACATGAGAGAGACGCAGCACTGACAGTGCTTTGGTTGCCACAAAACATACAGACTTCCAAGTGTTGCAACGGTGGCAAATAAAGAAGTGGAACAGAGATGTTTGTTCTCATCTTGGGGAAAAAAAAAACATGAAAAAGAACTTGTATGCTTGCTTTTGCAACCTTTAAACAGTACTCTTAACGCTGATTTGTTTGGGGTTTTTTGTTTGTTTGTTTGTTTTTGCTCACAGCAAAGAAAAAGCAATGCTAAAGAGAAAAATTGCTACAAATTCTACCACGCTCATGAAACCAGAGCCAAACACCCAACACAGTGTATCTTAATATTCAGAAACATCAACTGAAAGTTTCAGACAACCAAAAGGCAGTGGGTCTCACATAAAATTCTGGTCTAACATCCTCAGCACATGCAGAGGGGGCTCTTGATTCTGAAAAATTAACGTGTTTACAGAAATGCACAGAGATATTACAATAAAAAGATGTGACAGGCGATCATCTTGATCATGATTTCCCAACCCCACTAAAGCAGAGCACATACATTTTACACAGATATAATTCCAACAATTACAAAGATTGAGCCAGAGCAGCACACAGACATTTCCAGCTAGCAGTGGCATGAGGATGGTTTCCTATGCTGTGCAACATACCTTCAACACGTATTTCCGCCCTTCATAGATGAGTTCCACATCTACAGTGTTCAGCAAAGTATGAGCAGGCAGGACTTGGCCCCTTGAAAGAGAAGTACAAAGCAAAATTTGCCATCCAGAAACTACCAAATGACTACCAGGGACCCAAGAAGGCTCAAAGAAGCATGCAAGGATTTAAAAAATACTAACAGAGACAGAGCAGGCCAGTTTTCTTAGGCCTGTAGATAAACAGCTTCTTGGGATTAGAGAACAGACAACAAATAACAAGCTCCATGCATTTCTGGATTGTACTGCATTCCAACAAAATTTCAAGTCAAAAATAATTGCTACCTACCAGACAAGCAATTTTACCTTTCTAGAGAGTGCAGGAAGTTTGAGACGCTGTTCCGAAAGCTCACATCAGCCACATGAAGAGCTCCACACACCACCCCCAGCATGGTGTCAGGCCTTTCAGCCTAGAAGGAAAGGGCACAATAATACAGTTACACCTTCCTTAGCACCGCTCCGTTCCACACATCCACTTGTAGAACCAATGGTCTTAACTCTACTTTTGGCTCAAGGCCAATCTTCCACTAAAATTAAGCTGTTGTAGCACATATCCGAATACTACATAAAAGCAATCACCTCTTATAAAGAAAACCACTGATCTTTGTTCTTTCTGAATCAAATCCTGAGACTCAATCTATTTGAGCCTTTCCATCAGCATCCATTCCAAGCAGTATAGTAAAATACTATAAAAATTCTCACGTACACTAAGATGCCATTATGGCCAACTCTAAGACCACTTTTCCCTGACAAGGCAGTGACCTGGAATTTTGATACGAATAAGAATCAAGCCCAGTGAAAATCTTTATTTGCAACGTGTTAAGTGGAAATTAAGTACTGCAAAATACTCATCTTCTCGTAAACAGAACATACCACGCTTTCCAATCTCTCCTTTTCTCTCCCTCCACCCCACCCTTCCCTCCTCCCCCCCCTCTCTCCAAACTAATCCTGTAAAGCACACAGCTGCACCTGCACTTTCTCAGCAATCAGCCGATCCAACCAGCCGGTGTCAATGCGGTTCTGCTGGAAGCTTTCTGTTTCCAACAGTTTTATCAAGTATTCAACAGTGGTTCGGAAATCCCCTCGGATGGACAGCTCCTTCAAGGCCACCACCATGTTTCTGAAGGAGAAGAGAAAACCTGTTATCTATCCCACACAAACAGTGCAACCCAGTAACTCTGAACAGCTCCCCGTGAGTTGCCTGGAAAATAAACAGGCTGAGGGTAACAGCAGAAGAACACGTGCACTCGAGCAAGACCCCGTATGGTATGCTTGGGAATGAAACAACATTGATCTTCTTCAGTCTGCTGCCAGTGTGAACCAGAGAAACTCAGCCAGCACCAGCTCTGAGAACAGGAGTTCCATTGTTATCAACATCTGAGCACCTACCGCGTGCAAAAAGTACACAGAACATAACAGACACTGTCACCATCCCACCCAGAATGGAACAGAGGAAACACTCTGGATAAACAACAGCACGGATGGCAGGTCCGACACTCCTGTCTTATGATAAGCTTTTTATGTCCCACATCACATAAGAACACTCAGTTATTTACAGGGCATTGGCATAGCCAAGTTACCAATGCTCTTCCTGTTAAAAGCCTTCCACCTGAATGCTTTCAAAGAAGGACTTCAACACAATGGTATCTTACCCCAGCAGCAGGCACAGAAGGCAGAATGAAACAGAAGGGAAATAAACTAAAGAGAAGTAATCAAAAAGTGAGAAATGTAGGTGCAATGCAGTGGAAGAGCAAAGCAAGACAGGATCGGGAGCCTGACCACAATGTGGAAAGTGAGAAGGAAACTTCTCTCAAAAACACCAGAACCAAAGAGTCTGGTTTCATCCATGGCACTCTGCAATAAAGAGGAACAAAATGAACAATTTCCAAGGCTTTGTTGATTATACTACTTACGAGATGGCTTCTTCACGATTCTCTCCCCAAGAGAAGCAGTGACCAAACTGAGAATCAGCAAATTCATGAAGCCCTCCTGCAGCAGCAACACTGAAATAGCCCCAGACATTCTTATTGCTGCGGAAATTCAGTTCCTGGACTGTACCAGAACTGGGCTTAAATCCCTGTAAAAACAGACAGACATTGCTATACACCCTAAAGAAAAAGTAAATAAACCAGAATTAGGGAAATAATTAGAACTGTAAAGAGCACCATTTACACAGCTAAGCTGAGCCTGCTCACTGCCAAAGCAACAGCAAAGGTCCATAGAACACAGAAGCACAGGAACTGCTGTAGTTCAGAAACTACAGGGAACTGAAGACCTTAGCTTTTGTGAGGTCAGTAGCACCTTGGCAGCTAATAATGACAGTGTGCCTGGGGGACAACCAAGTCACAATAAAGAGGATTTATAATCCTAAGGCACAGATAAAATCTGTTATACTCTGGGAAGTTGAGGAGATGAAGGTGAAGATACTGTACAGTGCACCTGTGTCAGTCCATGTTCTTCTAGTGCCTAGCCACAGTGTACAGAAGCATCAGCTAAGTAAGATAAGGGAAGAATCTTTTAAAGGTGCCAAACCTTCCTGGAACAGCAGCAGAGATGGAACTCACTGAGGTTATCACAGCACGATAAGGAACTACAGGATTTAAAACACTCACCTCATCGGGATTCTCACTGGTGATACGTGCAGCAATTACATGGCCACGTGGACAGGGGACATGGGCTGAATTCTCAAAATCAATAGATCCATCTCCCCACGGGGAAACGCCGTACATCACTCGGATATCCTTGATCCGGTGGAGTGGAATCCCCATGGCAATCTGAGGAGGAAGAACAGCATTTGCCACTAATCAGCAAGTTGCCAACTTCACAGAGCGCCTCTTGTCCTCGTGGAATTAACCCCACCAGGTTCTGCAGAAGCTAATGCTGCAGTTCTCATACAGCAAACACATATTCCTATTTTCCTAAGTAAGCCCTCTCCACTGACATGCCTTGTTACATTTGTATTTCTCAAGACAGCTGAACTCAGTGTAACATCCATCTTGTGACTTCCAACAAATATTTTCCGTTGACTAAAAGACTTCAAAGAAGGTTGGTCACTGCTAGGTCAGCCAAGGATGGGCCTGAATTAAGCCTGATAAAAATACACTGAGGTGCCAGATGACCCCTAACCAGCTGTATGGAACCTTTGAGGATTTCTGTAACTATAAAATGCAGACAGTGACCTACAGAACTGGCTGCTGACTGGAGCCTTATGGACCCAATTCCCAGCTGTTCTGGTCAACAAGAAAAAAACCTACTGGTTCACACAAGCCATAAATGTCACTCACTGTGATGATTTCTCCTTGAAAAACTAATAAATCAAGACAAATTCTTGGTTGCTTTGCCACATCTATTCCAGTGCCTAATAATTAGGCACAAATCCTATTTTGTAGAAAGACTTGAAGAGCAGGGACCTCAGCCAAGAAGAGGAAGCATCTGCTATTAGTGAGGGACTTGGAGAGGTGGAAACAATTTCCCTGGAAGTCAGGAACTGCTAATCAAAATTAAAAAGACCAAAGTCACTTTCCTGAACTTCAAACAACTGCTGAACTTGCTGAAAGATGAGAAAACCAATCGTCTGCTCTTTTTTCACTCCCTTTGTCATTGGGAACTCTGGGAATACTGTTATCTCTTGGAGGCAGTGGACTGGGCAACGCACTGCTCCAAACTGGCACAGCATTTGATTGCTCTGCTAGCCTCAGAAGCCAATTCATTTGACAAAATAATTTCAGGGCCTGCTGAACTACTCATGTCTAAAGCCTCTTAAGACAGAGTTTTTACATACAACCTTACTTAAACCAGTTTTCTTACCTTTATATTTTATTATTCTGTTGCTTCACGTATTTTTTTTTTTTTTTTTGTAACTAACGGTTTCTCTAAGAATTTCAGGAGGAATAACTAGAAAATTACTTCTCTTTGCTTTCCAAATCAGAACAGAAGGGGAAGAATATTTTGGAACACAGAAGCTTTGCTCCTGAAGCCACAGAAGATAAATCCTAAACTGGGGAAGTAACAAAGTTGCTCCATTAGTTAGGTGACTTGGGTTGGGAAAGAGAAGCGGAGGAGTCAAATATCCCCATCTGCGTGAGAGGACACAGGCCATATGTGGTAGTGCTGATAGCTGCCTTACACTCTTTCCTCTCTAAGTATTAAGATCCAGTCATCTGCTGAACATTGGTATGGGATCCAGTTTTAACACAGAAACCTGGCAGTGACTCAGCAAGAGTCCGGCCCCTTAATTTCACTCGGGCTTCAGCAGAACAGGTTTTTCACGCTCAGCTTTCTTCACCACACCACAATTTGAGCACTTCTGAAATCCTCCAGAGGTGCAGGAATTGGGTCCTGACTCACCTGGAGCTGTGCTGCAGGAAGATTCACATCAGCTACCATCTCGGTGCAGGGATGCTCCACTTGCAGACGAGGATTCAACTCCAGAAAGTAGAAGCTGCCATCCTGGCTGTAGAGGTATTCCACAGTGCCTGCACTCACATACCCCACCATTTTTGCAAGCTTCACTGCACACTAGGATGCAGGAAAGAAGAGTATTTGTTTTCCATGCCCCACATTCAGTCTTCTATGCCCTGTTCACCCACCCTACCCACTTCAGAGTTTTTTCAGTGGCATTCTAAAACATCCAACATCTTCTAAGGTGCCCAAAAGCTGCTCAAAGCAAAGCACACGGCAGCAGGGTTTTGGTTCCCAGGTTATTTTGTTTACACTGTTCACAGAAGGCAGAGTTGAAGTATTTTTAACAGCCAGCATTAGAAAATTCATATAACTCCTGCTGCTCACTTTTAATGTGACATTACACATTTAAAACACATCTCTCTCATTTTTGAGGTGCAGACATTCTCAGTGGAGCTCAGCAATGATGGACTCAGTTTTGGAAATGTCAGCGGTTGCACACAAAGCAGTTTACAACACATTACCTTACGCTGCTCTTTTAACAGACTGAACAATGCAAAACTATTGCCAATGACAAATAAAAACATCCTGGCTCTTCCTGGAGTCTCACATGAAAAAGAGAACTTGCAGAGCCACTCTCACCTGTTCCATGTGCTCAAAAACCACTGAAGTTGCAATGGAAGCAGGTGCTTCCTCAATAATCTTCTGGTGCCTGCGCTGCACGGAGCAATCCCGACCAAAAAGAGAGATGGCATTGCCATACTGGTCTGCCAGGATCTGCACCTCCAAGTGGCGGGACTGTTTGGCCAGCCTCATTACAAAGATCGGAGAGCCTGGGACTTCAGCCTGAACCTACAGCAGAGACACCTTGTAAGTGGACAAATCATTTTTTGTAAACAACCGCCTTAATCCCAACCATCCCCAGTTCATTTCTTGAGTAACAAATGTCCTGAATATTTACTCAGGTCACTTATGACTAAAAACAACCTGTGTTGTAAAAAAACCACCTCAGCTTTCCTAAATAATCCATAAGCTAAACAAGGCTCACAATAGTGGCTTCTTCATTTCCTCAACATCTCCCATTTAGTGCTCTCAGAATCACCCAACCTGAGCATCTAGAACAAGACAGCATAAATCAATGGAAAAGTTACCTGTCTAAATAGGTTGGGGAAGTCATCTGCATTATTAACTTTCCTAATTCCTTTCCCTCCTCCTCCTTCAGAGGCCTTGATCATGACAGGGTAGCCAACTTCCTCAGCAGCCTGATCAAGATGGGAAAAACACGGGTAAGTATAACAAGCTAGCAGAAATAAGTTGAGAAGACCTTTATTTATGAATTATTCATGCCCAAGTCCCCACATTTTTTGACTCTGTTTAGCAAATTAGACATGACCGAGACCCAAATCACATATGCTATTTCAGTAGTTGGAAAAACAAGGGAACAGTTGCTGCTACTGCAGCGCTCTTGTTTCTTTCTCCTAATCCCACTAACTCTGCAGGCTGAGCCCAAAGACAGTTTGTGAAAGACTGCTTTCAAATTTCCAAGACTCAGTCCGGTCCTAATCAGTTCTCCCATTAGAAACAAATTAATCCTCCAGGCAATCTCCAGGTATGCATGCAGCAGGCTCCAACCAGCTCTGCATTACCAGCCACCCACCCGCAGGCCGTCGTCTGCATCTTTCACATAGCCTTTTTCATACAGCTCCTGAGGAACGTTCAGGATACGCTTCTGAAGATCGTTCTCCTGCCAATCCACTCGTAGACCTGAAACATAAACATGGCCTTCTAGCCTGTTCTGCTGCAAGGCTCAGTGAGAACTCACACATCAGACACTGGTGAAACAAAGGGCTGTAACAGATCCTCGAGGAACCAGTCTGGAAGCACGTACAAAAGAGAGGATGCTGAACACAAGCAGATTATTACTGTTGTCTGGGGAGCAAAAACTTTTAATTGGAAAACTAACAACAATTATGCCCTCCATTTACCCTGTGTAATTCTGAGAAACAGGCAGTTATTCACCATCCTACAGAGCTTCCACAGAAACAGAGTATTGGCTGCGTGCTCCAGAATTACTGACAGATGCTAGAGAAGTAACAGCTGCAGAAATATCAGATGCCACAGCTGCACTGTCAGACTGACAGCAAGGTAAGGAACATGTCCTTTTTGCCTGACATATCCACAAACACCACAGTCACTTTGTCCAAGCCTTGGATAATACAAGTTTGAATCCATTAGCAGATGGAACACATGCAACTGACCTTTTTATGCACAGATACTTATTAAAGATTAGACACGTTGAAGAAAAGCGGATTAAAATGGTCTTTATACGCTGGGGAATTTCCTTCTTACCGCTGCCACTCCAAGGAAGAGTTGGGATGCCAGCAGTCTGAGCCACTATTGACGATGCAATTTTATCTCCTAAAGCCCACATTGCCTGGCTTGGAGGACCTGCAAGGAGCAAAAGCAACGCATGGGAGAGTCGCAAGTGGTATCAAACTCCAGGGAAATGCCTACAGGCCTGATTGGGATCCCATGTACATGGAATAAATAAAAGCTCTCTGCAAGCCTGATGCAGGCCACAACCCAACTGGTATAAATCAATATTTCCAAATCAAACCCAAAAGCATTAACAGTGTCAGCCAGGAATTTAAAAGCAGACTGGAGCACCTTTGACCAAGAAAGAAGGAAAGGCAATTGTAACTACAATTAGACAGATCACAACAGCTTGTTACAGAAGCCTTGGAACACTCAGCTTGCAGGCACCACTATCTGTCCACGTGTTTCTCTTCAAGCTGCGCCAGCTCTCAGAGATGGCAGGTGCTGGTGATTGGTATTAGGTGTGCACATCACATGCTATTGGAATAGTAATTCAGCGCCCTGATTTCCCTAGAAACATGGCTAACGTGGGACTGCAGCACATGATTGGCAAGAGATTTAAGCTGGAATTAAAACGCAGATTTAAAATTCCCGCCTTTTCAAAGGTTCGGAGTATTTCCACAGCTGTGGCTCAAGTTATTACAGATCTGCTGGAAGTCAGAACACAACAAAACTGCCCCAAAGATAAAAGTTATGTTCACACCATGACTTTTACCACAAGTCCATCTTTAGTTTTAAACACAGACCATGCCCAAAGCCTTACCCTACATTCAGATATGGAAATGACACTTACTGCATCAAACACCTCCAGGTCTCAATCAACTACACTGCTAACAGACCACAAACTTCATGTGCTGTCTACAGAAAACTCAATAAAATTTAACTATGAACATTCTCTTTAAACTGACAGCAGAAATATCCACTGCTTTAACACTGTGTTCTTTGATTTTTTATCTCAAAATACTCAAAGACATTTTGGAGAGCTTGCCACTTCTCCCATACAACAGTTACTTCCCAGCACATGTCCAAACCTTACCCACTGCCATCTGCAAATAGCTGTACCATCATTTAGAGGAAACAGCAGGAAACATTATCATAAAAGCCCAGCATGTCTAAAAATGGATAATTTCTGAAGTTAACTTTGCTCACCTCTATTTTTAATATGAGATAAAGAAAGGCTTACAGCTCTTATTACAGTCCTCATGGAAAAGAATCTGTCCTTCTCTCATCTTCCAGACCCAGGGTCTTACTGAGCTAAGCCCTCTATCATAACCCAGGGTCTATTCCAATCCAGTTTCATTAGCCTCAATTACTGGAAACAGATTACACTGCTAGGCAGCATATTCTGTTGCTCTGACTACTGTAACGAACAGATCATCCATCTTGCACTTGCAAACCGTACCTCGTGGCTCTCTTTCAGGCTCAGGATTTTCTCTCATTAAACCCACCCATCTAAAAAAAAGACTAGACCTCATCAGACATCTGGTCAGAAGTACATCTGCTCACCCATGAAAGCAATCCCATTTTTGTGGAGAAGTTCTGGTAGTTTTGGGTTCTCAGAAGCATGGCCCCAGCCAGCCCATACAGCCTGCAGAAGAACACAACATAATTCACTCTTAGTTACAACAGAACAGGCACATGAGCAAAAATACAAAGCATGCAGATGCTTCCAAATCTTTCTTTTCTCCACTGAACAGAAAACAGCCTCATAACATCCACAAGCCAGAGGATGTTATGAAGTACGCTCAGGCTTACTTTAAAGGGCCAGAGCATTGCATCTGGCAGACAAGACCAAGGCTGCTGAAGGAAGCTAAGTGTAGGGAAGTGAAAGGGTGAAGGGAACCTTCTGCCTCCTGCAGATATTCACACTGGGAAACTGACTGCATTCTAACATTCACTGTCCTTACTGCTAGCATAGGTTTGTCGGTTCCATTTCTTTAACCTGCCTTTTCTCCCAGATACAACTCATCACTTGAGGAGAGGGGATTCCCTAGCGCTACCTCATGATTTGAAAACTGGCATTTCTCACCTGCACTGGAATGCGCTTAGCAATGTCAAGGATGAGTTCCACATTTGCATAGTTGTTGTTGTTTGGTCCTCCTGGAACTGGCACGTAGTGATCTGCCATTTTAATGTACTCTGCAAATGCAACAAAGGTCACATGTAGATCACAGATCTGTAAATGGTACTTAGGTCTAAAACTTCCCAAACCTACGGCATAACCAAATCTGAACATCCGTATCCACACTGCTTTCTCATCAATCCCAGAAGTTAATTACAATTATCCAGTGGTATTTCCTACACAATAAAATACCCACTGGCAAAACTAAACTTAATGTCTCTAAAGCACTTAATATAAATTCATTCCAAAATTACCCAAAGCCCTCAATCCGCTCCTGGTCAGAGCGGCGCACGGTGCAGCGATGTCCCCTCAGCCTCCTGCATCCCCCTGGGCACAGAGGTCTGTGCACCTTCACTCACCTGCGTTTGCTTTCAGGTCCTCAGGAGTCACCATGACAACAAACCTGATGGCCCGCTCGTTTCGGAACATCTCGTAGGACCAGCGCCGGATCGACCGCATGCATTTCACCGCTGCAATCCCGTTGTTGGCTATCAGGACCTGCACATAAGAGATGCAGGGATGAGACAAAAGTCTAAATAGCACAAAATCCTGAGCAATAATGAAAATAGACATTTTCTCCACAGGTTTTTCAACCCCTTTTTTGCTGTTCCGTTTTCTCAGCTGGCTTTCAACTCAATAAGGAATCAGCTCTTGCTTGCCCATGAAGTTATAATGTCTTATGCTCTGTTGGGATTAAAGAACAGAAGGGCACTTCAGAACTGGCATAATGAGTTGCTAAAACTTCTGTCACCTGAATGGATGAGACCTCACTGTTATGTGTTTATGTATTTTGAAATAAAATTCTCAGTGCTTTGTCCAGTCTCCATTTGTTATATCTGTCTGTAAGTCCTCCTCTATCAGCAGAGGCTCATTCAGATTTTTCTTCTGTCACATTAAACTAAAACAATTTATCACATTTAAAGTTAAAACAGAATGACTACAGGCAGAAATACAAGTTGTAAGTTCAGGAATCTCAGTATTTTCAATATGCAGTATTGAATAAAGAGAAGTCATAGCTCTAGAGAAGGGAACAAGAATGCAATATGCCAAAGCCCATAAGGCCAGCAATTTACCTTTTCAATAACTCTGTTCCCTCCGAAACGAGTAACAAATTCTGCAGGAGAAGCCACAGTGAAATCCCGCTGCACGTCAACTTTCTTCCTGTCCCGGCCTTGCTTTACGAGGTGCAAACCAGACATGCTGGGCCTGAGGGAATTTGAGGGGGTCAGAAAAAAACCAACACTGCAGTGCAAATGAACACAAATAGAGCAGAGTATGACGGGAATTTCTACCTGTCCCCTTGATCACATTGCCCATGACAGGCAGAACATTCCCCACTTCCAGTTTGCAGCTCTTACAAGCATGATCTCGTTTTGCAATTAACTGCAGTTGTATCTCAGCACATTTCAGCCCATCCGGGGAAATTCGAGTCATGCCAATACATGAGCAGGTGAAAATGCACTCACTGCACATCACTGCCCGTCACAGAACAACTGTGTTAAACCAAACTCCATGCTGCTCCTGTCTTCCAAGAGAGCTGACTAATGATCAAGTTTCCTAGCTTTGGTAAAACAGTGTACTAAGTCAGATTCCATGAGGAAATCCTGTTAGAGAACCACAGCAACTACACTTCAGGTGTAAACGAGAGGCTCCGCCATCCCTGTGCCTGGTTACTCCAACCATTTCCCAAAGATGTGCCCAGCAGCAAGGCCAGCTCCTGGGGGCCACGTGTTCAGTTGGAGTTGGCTCAGGATCCTCTGCCTTCATCAGCTGAGGATGAGAAACTCCATGGGGAGATGGGAAGAGCTGGGCAGAAAGCGACTGACCTGCTGGGGAGGGCATGAAGGGCAAACAACAGCAGCGACAGGCCTGGCTGCACAAGTCCCAGCCCACTGCTGCTCAGCCCTGACTCTGTCAGGACGTTGAGAATAAAAAAAGCACAACGATGGCACTTCACAGTTACTTTGGAGCTGAATTTCAGCTCATCAATCTTTATCTCACACATGGGATATTCTCATGGCCAACACTCAAGGCGGTAGAGAGCTCCAAGTTACAGGCTTGTAGAGAAAGCAAATCTGGAGCTTAACTGGGAAGTGAAAACCTGTTCTAAGCACAGCAACAGAGACATTGGAGCAACCCCTGAAGCCAAAGATGGAGAAATGAAGGGTAACAGAGGGGAGAGCAACAGCGTGATGTCAACATGTGCTAAGAAAGAAAGAAGGTAAACAAGCCTGTCTCCCAATGACATGCTGGGAACTACAAGTGTCTGCACCAGGTCAGATCAAAGTATACCCAGTTCAGCAACCTGCCTCAGAGGCAACAGCTGATATCCAGAGAAGGGCAGGAGATCACGCTGAGCGTACACAGGTACTTCCCAGGAACACTTTCCCTTCTTCCAGCAAGCTGCAATCCCGATAAGCGGTGTCACTGTACCTAATGGGCTGCTGTCAGCAAGAGTTCATGGACTGCACTGCAAAAAACACAGCCTGCAAACTTGAGGATGGGGGCCAACAGGCAGGAAAGAGAGCAGAAGTGTAGGCAAGATACAACTTCTCCTACATTTGTCTTTAAAGAAGGTCAGAATCTACAGCTTGGCAAGGAAGGAGTACAGCCCAAGAAATCAATGAGACCGGTTTGCTCACTGAAGGCTCGTTGCATGCGGTCTCAACAAAAGAGAGACCAAAATTTTGGGGTCAGAAGCTGTGAACACGGATGAATGTGGACCATGCACCAACTCACCAAGTGCAAATTACCACACAAATGAAGATTCTGCTGCAGTGAAAATGACAAGATAACCAGATTTTCCATCATTCCGAATCAATTGCAAACACTTGTTTATAAACAGGTATAGTTCATTTTACTCTGTGATGGGAAGTATACCAAGAGCATCAAGTTTTATTCACTAGCAATCACAGGCTGCCCATCATAGACAAAGCAGGAAAGATTTTCTTCTTTTAGCAACGTAAAGTGCGGGAGAAGCTGGGCAGCCATGAAGGAAGAACACTGAGCCCTAAACAAGACAGAACAAAAGGCAAATGGGTAACAGCCATCTCTGCTGTTCTCCAGGTCACACATGCAGTGCTTTCTCAGGTAGGAGCTTCCAAAAAGCTCATCAGTCCTTCAGTTTGTAGAGGTTAATGGCTGTACAGAATGTCACACTTTATAAACAGATTCTGCACCTAAAATGCAGTCCAGCACCTTTCTTACAGACTGCACACACAAATGCCTCACGGTAATTCAGGATGGCTTCAGAGGGATAAAACAGACAGCGGAAAATATCAGTTTGAATTTCTAGCACAGGGTGCCCAACTGCCTCAGCCCAAGACGGGTGTTGCTCTGAGGAGACAATCATAGCTGAAACTCTTACCTCTGCAGCATGTGATAGATCATTTCCTGACTCTGATCTGCAGGCTCCTCCATGCTGTCTGTGAAGGAATTAACAGATTGCAAGTGCTGCTATTTTGGTTTTTCCAATACTGCAGCTCAAAACCCAGCAGCGCAGAGCAGCGCAGAGCCTCCCGTGCTCATATGGTTCTCCTTGAGGCAGCGGCACTTCCCGGATTGCTTCAGTCTTTTAACCTTTGTCCCCTGCCTTCTACCAGCCCTCTGTCACTCTTTCTTCCTGTGACGCAGCACACACAGCGAGTGAAGCAGCCTCCCTGCAGCGCAGGGGGAAAGCAGCTGATCAGAGACAGAGGAACCCCCAGTTACGTAAGGAGCTTTGCACAGCTCTGTGCTGTATGCTGGAGCCCCATGAGATGAGGATCCTGCAGGGAAGCGGCTGCACAGCTGGCTCCCTGCCTGCCCCGAGCCCCCAGCAGCCAGCACAGCTCCTGCTGCCAGGAGGCAGCTGTCACAGGCCGGCTGCAGTGCCCATCAGCTAGAGAATTCATTCAGCAAGCAGGATTTTGTATCAGGTGTGCACAGAGGGCGGGGAGGTGACAAGGAAAGCACCTCCATGCAAGCAGGCAAAGCCCAGCGGTGATCCGGGCAGCAGAGCACACAGACACCAGCCTGAAGCTGGGACAGGTCAGCCAGGATTTCAGCAGCTCAGTTTCTCCACCCATTAAAGAGAGACGAGCTCGCTCCAAACGCTACAGGAATAAACGCCCCCAAAACAAAGGTGCTGCGGTCCTGCGGGGCCTGTAACAGCCCTGCAGAGAGGATGCATGTTTGCTCAGCACCAAGCACATGCAGGAACAAACTGCAGGCTTGGACTGGAACTCGACACAGCAACTGGGTTACACTCTGAAATTTCGTGACATTGGGGTCTGCCTGAGCGTAGGGCCATCCATACCCAGGCAGCACAGCCCTTATTTGAGGCACACATTTTCCAAGAGTCTGAGCAAAAGCTATGCAATTATCCAGTAAAGAATCACTCAATAATAATAATAATTTAAAGAAAAAAAAAAAAAGAAAAAAAAAAAACAAATATCCGGAAAAAATAGAGACATTATGAAGACAGGCAATGCTGAGCCCTGAGCAGCAAGGCGAGGTCACTTCGGGAAAAAGGGACCTAAGAATAGCCAGGCAGTGTGAGCAACGACCGACAGCAAGCGCCACGTGTCTGATAAAGCACAGGCAGACAATTCCTGCAGATTCAATTCCTGCAGACATTGTCAGCAGGAGGGCAAAGCAGCACAGCGACATGCTGTGGTGGTGGTGGTGAAAAACGTCACGGGGAAATAAATCCAAGGCAGGCAGCAGACAGGTGATAGTGAGGGAAAAGTGAACAACCAAACAAAAACCCCAAAGCCAGACAGGTCAAGGATTTCAGCTCCTGACAAACGACGTGCAGCACAAAAGCCACGCAACCCTCTCCCACGTGGATGGCTGCAGAAGAGAAGTCCCAGCCCTGCAGGTCAGAGGGGACTTGCATCAGCATCATGCCATTGTATAACACTGGTTGTGCTGCAGTAAGCCAAGAGGTGTCAGATGGAAGACACGATAAGATGGCCCTGCTCTCTGCATGGGGAACAGCCTGGGGCACAGTCCCTAAAGAAAGATGTAAAGCAACCACAGAAGAGCAGATGAAAATGACTGCGGGTCTGATGAACACAGCCCAGGAAGTGAAGGGGCTGCCAACATTGGATGGGCCTGGTGAGGATGGCCAGTGACAGTCTTTAAATGCAGGAAAAGAAGACAAGGTTCATGAGAACGAGAAGTAATGAACTTAAATTATAACATGTTAGCAAAGCTTTCAAACAGTACTGCAAATGCCAGCGGTGGCAGAAGGACTGCAGAGGCTGCTGCTGGGAACAAGGTTTCGCACCGGGTTCACGCAGTCCCTGATCAGGACCAGCTCAGCATCCAGATGACCAGACCTTGGGGCAAACACACAGTCCAGATGACTCCTGGGATCTCTTCCAGTGTGACACTTTATTAATTCCCAGATAGAAAGCAGAGGTTGTGCTTGGGTGCATTACACACCTGCCTAGTTACTGAAAGCCTCTCTCAAGTGCCAGCTTACTCCCTCTTTGAAGAAACGTTCAGACCGCCCAAGAGTGGCAGAAATTCCTCATTTAATTCATTGTAAGACAGAAGCACGTAAGAAGAAGCCCCCTGTCTCGAGGTACCTTCCAGCACCAACTCCATCCCAACGGCCCCTCAGTTCAGCACAGACCCCACTCCTCCTGTATGCACAACCCCATCTGGACACCCACTTCCCTGAGCTGTGCAAGCTTTTGCTCCCCCAGCCCTGCTGGAGGCTCCCATCAACCCACCGGATCCCAGAAGGCCATCACAAGGGCAGAGACTTAAGAAATATCAGACTCAGCTTGATAAAATCTGCATTGCTTTCTCTCCCAAAGCCCACCACGTATTCAGAGACTTCATTGGACACATATTGCATACAGAAAATGGTACATTCCACCTCTTTCTAAATAAAGTTCTTGCATGATATTGAATTTCCTCCGTTTTTGATCCTGTCTTTAAGATTTATTCAATGTGATTGGAATTCATTTTTCAGTTTTGGTGAAATCTCTTTCCCAAACATTTGCCCACGCTCAAAAAAAAGCCTACTCACAGCTCCCAACCCTAACAGCTCCCAACCACTGTAGCTGCAAGGAAACAAATCCCACAGCTCCACGCAGCCTCATGCTAGAGAACAGCTTCAGCTGGGTTAAAAGCACTCATTGTGCTTCTGCTTCAGCATCAATGGAGACGATCGGCCTCAGCATCCCAACAGAAGCGCGGCACACGAGGACGCGTCACGGTGACACAACACTCACCATCACTCGCACAAAGCCGCTCCCTGCACAGCGCTATTCAGAGCCCCGCTGGCAAACGGCGCGTGCAAAGCTCCCCCCTCCCTGGAGCCTCGGCCACAGGCAGACAAAAGGGAAGCCTGGGTGCTTCTCGGCTGTTCTGAGCAAACCCGCGCTGGTTGCACACGTACCTGACGCACATCGCAGCCAGCAGCCTGCACTGATCCCAGCACTGCAGCATGCCCAGCGCTGCCGGTGACGCTGCACTCTGCTCCAGAGGCAGCGATGCACGAGCTGGCGTGTGTGCAAGGCAGCCGTAAGGAGGCTGCAGCACAGCCATACACACACACACACACACACACACACACACACACACACACGTCCGCCCTGAGAAAAGATTATTCTTTTTTTTTCCCCTTTGTTTGGTCTTACAAGGTGTGGAAGCAGGGCAGCTCTTATCAGTTAGGGATTTTGTAATGTGGCCATGCCAATGCGTGCGTGCATCTGGTCCAGGTGGCAGGACTTTGGGAAGCATCCACAGAACCTGCCCTAGTGCCAGGCCTGCCCCTGCAGCCTGGTCCTCAGAGAGGCAGAGGGAAGGAATGAGCACACACATAAGCCGGCAAGCAATGCAGAGGAGCTCTGCAGCCAGAGCAAAGGGCGGCTATGGCCAGAGGAATGGACGCTGGGAGGCAGCAACCCAGACTTATTCAAAGACAGTCTTTCCTGCAGCCTTAAAGAGACAGAACCGTTAGCTTGAAGGCAGAAATTGCCAGAAGTCAGTGCCTGGATACATTAACCAAAACCAAGAGTTTCATCAGAGCCCTGACACGAGGCTGGGCCCAGGAATTTCAGAAAGCAACAAAGGATACAGCACAGGTTACAGTGGCGAGGTAACTTCACATTCAGACTGTTGCAATTTTAAACAGCAATCCAGGCAGGTACGCAGCCTAAAGCAGGAAATTCGGTTCCAAAACTACAGAATCCAAACTAGAACACTGCTAGGACTCCTCTATAAAAAATACAGAGGAAGTGCTGAGTACTGTGGCCACAAGCCCCTTTCCTCTCCTTCAAACTTCTCTTTCAGAATCCATTTCTCCATCACACCCTTCCTGCTGAAACTCTGGTACCCAATTCCTAGCACCACATTTCAATCAAAATCCATACTCCAGTTCCTAAAACCCCCAAATATCCACACTTTCACATCCCCGAGAAGCATGAAATTCTATGTGTTCCTGCAGTAACAGCTTAACACTCTCCAGACGAAGCCTCACCACCGGGATAAATGCAGTAAAAGAGAAGTTATGCAGCTGAGAGCAGATCTGAAGTCCTTTCACAAAGTTTTGGACAGATCTCCTCTGCAGGAAAGATAGAAGGCATGTTCTGTACCAACCAGAACTAAGGGGTGGGTGGGAGAGTTTTGTGCAGTTTGTCACTGACAGTTTTTGCCTCACACAGGCAGCACAACAGGGCCCACCTCTGAGTGCAGGCACAGTCCCACCGTACGTCTGGTCTTAAAGACAGAGTTACAACAGAGTGTCAAGAGATCCACAGCATTCTCTGCCCTGGAGATTCAGCATCACACAGCAACACTTCAGCCAACAAAGAGATGAAGGTAAGTCCTTTGTTTTGGCAGGGCTTCCAACTGATCACGTGCAAAGAAAAATGTTTTAGCAAACATCTTATTGAGACTGTTCACCAAGAAGTCCAGTTAACGCTTGGCACAAAGGCCAGCATCTCTGTGGGTGCACTACCAGAGCTACGAGCTGGGATAACTCTCAAAACGTGGCTTTCAGTTGTTGCAAGTGGATTGCCAGGTGATTTCCTACACCCCTTTAATTGCTTACGAAACCAGTGCCCTGATGGACAAATGCCAGAAGGCATGCAGGATTTATTCTATTTTAAACAAGAATTTGATACTGGATGCTATCTTTAAAACTAGGAATTAAATATAGCATCAGCCAAGAACAATTTATTAAACAAAACAAACTGACTCAACATGTGGCATTCACAGAGAAGTTACTTTATCTCCCACTGACTCCTCAGCAACACAGCTAGCAGCCCTGCACAGCACAAAGCACCACGTCCATGGGACTGCTGCCCTCAGCTGGAGCACCGAACTGAAACACAACACAACTACACCCAGAAACAAAAAGGGAAAACAGTACATCCTGCTTTATCACCTACAGGTGCAAAATGCAACAAAGAGCACATTTTGTTGGCATTAGCTGTATGCAGCCACTTTCTTGAAGGATGCCCCTTGTCGTAATTAACTGAGCAAGGAAGACATTTACACAAGCTTTATCACTGATACTCTTTAAATAAAATACAGCTACAAGAAAGGAAAGAAACAGAACATTCATGTGCACAGCTACTCTTCCAGCACACACTTTTGTTAAACACTGGTGTAACAGTCACTGATTACATTATCAGATCATGGCTTTCTCAATCCCATCTCTAGCAGTCAGCTAGCTCAATCAAAGGCCTGCACGGATATCTAGTGGTGTGAAGCCTGTATTGTACAGCCTGTCCCAGCAAGACCGGCTTTAGCAACAGCATAAACACTTACCCAGATCAATCAGGTGATGGATGGAGCACAGCCACACACGCTCCGCATGCTCAGATGAAGAAACACGAGCTGGCACCCAGCCTGCCCACAGCTGGGCCAGGCCCTATCGGTCAGGCACCACAACCCGACCCCAGCAGCACTTCCCAGCTCAGACAAAAGGCCTGCGAGGTTTCAGGTACGGAGCAAACGCCAAACCGCGCAGTGAAGCACCACCTGCCCTGCATGAAGTGACAACGCGACGCTGCTTTTTATTTGAATGCATGTCTTTGCTACAAAACAACAGCTCATGAGAGCTAATGACCAAGGAAGAACATTTCTCTTTAGCAGTGTCATTTCCACAGGGCGCTCCTTCCAGGAGTGAAAATTTGCTTGGGAGATCAAGATAAGTGCTGGGACAGCTGCTGCACAGAAGGCACAGGCACCAGCACTCAGTGTTACAGGACAGGATAGACACAGATAACCTCCACAAAGCAACAAAATGTCCAAACTTCAGTGATCTGGAGCATGAGAGGGAAGAACAACCTCATAGCTGACAACCAACCCTGCTCTTCCGGGCCTCCTGCGCCGCAAGAAGTAATCTTTTCTCCAGCCATCAGAGCAATAGGTGCACTGCCTGCCACGCTCTGTGAAGAGGTAACGGATCACTCAGGTGCTCTCACAACCCTTCTGTATCTGACTCAGTTCTCTAATTTAGAGATAATTGCTCCCTGAGAAGGACTTCTCTGCAGCAGTCACTCACCTCAACTACAGGCTGCTTCTGTGGTTAGCTAACCAAACCTTCCTGTGTGGTACAGCGGGGCTAACCAGAAAATGGAAAGATTTTTGGCAACTCCTCACAAAGACATTCTCTCTCGGATCTGCAGCTTGTTTGAGCAATACTGCACATACTCAACACTCACTCAATTTGTCTTTGACGCTCCAGAAAGAGTTGCACCTTTGTGATTATCAAAAGAAAGCTGTAAGCAAGAATGCCAGTGTTCCATTGATTCACTGTCACACCGTGACTGCAAGCAAGTGGTTTACCTTGTCTGTGTCTCAGTTTCTCCATCTGCAAACATTATTTGGAAATCTTTTGATGAAAGAGACTACCATCCTGGAAAACCATTTCAATTCACCTAACCTTATCTGAGAAAAACAGCCTAATGCTGTAACTTTTTTTTGTTTGTTTATTTGAATTGGCATTTCCCTCCAATTTAACTGAGAGTCAAGTACCCTCAAAACAGAATGCCAAAGTAAGCACGTTACAACAGAGGTGCTCAAGGTTGCACATCTATTGCATTATAGCTCTCTCGTGCCAGGCAGTGTCCTCGAAGTTGCACACAGACACTGCCTGATTTTCTTGCTCTCCTGCTGCCTGTTTCACACTAGAGGTTTTGTCTTCATACAGCTTCTTCTGTTCCTCAAATGTATACAGTTACAAGACTAGAGCTTTTCCCACTTCAAATTTACCTTTTTTCAGCTGCCTAATTGTTACAACTGACAGCCAGGGCAAAGGCAATCCCCTTTACATTTGTGTAAGGTTTTCTATCGCCAGCTGGCTGACCATACCCAGCAGCTTGAGCAGAACAACTCTCAGCTACGGACCACTGTCACCCTCTGGCCCCAACCTGGACTCTGTGCATGTTTTCAGATGCTGTCTCCATAAAGTGACAGTGGAACCATCAACAATAGGGACAAATAAAACAGTCCTTCTCCCAGCTGTGAGGCCAACATCTCCCTGAGCTGTAAGCAGTAGCTGCTACATTAAGCTTTGGTTTACTGCCACTTCACAGGTTACCAATCATTTCTTTAATCAGAACTTTCTCTATCCAAAACAAAAACCATCCAAAAATCACATCAAAAACTTTTGAGGCCAAACCCAGAACCGAGATACAAAGGTGAGATTAATCAGTATGCAGCTTGCAAGGAGCAGCTTCGGACTTTCTTGGGAACTGACAGAGAGACTGCAGCTGAGATATTTATCCATACCTCATATGGTTTGCCAGGCCATCTTGAGTGCTAGGAAGACCCAAGTCTGAAAGCGAATCCGAGCAGACAGAAACAGGGGACAGAGACCTCTCTTTCTCCTCTAGCAGGTCAAGTTTCACCAAGGAGCTTGTCTCATCTTCTGAGTTATCCTCTGACACAGAACCAATAATAAAGCGAGAGTGAGGGTTCATCTCCAGGGGTTTAGCAGGCTGGGAAGACTCTTCCATGGCTCTTCCAAATTGAGCTCTCAGCACTTGAAGGGACAAAAGAAAGAAGAGAAACAAAACTCAAGGTTAATATCTCCTATTGCAAAACAAATAAGGCAAAGCAAGGTTTGCTTCCAATTGGAAATGCAATGGTACAACACCAGAAAACAATAGCTGAACCTAGACAGGAGTCCAGGGAATAGTAATTTCTGTTACAATCACTGACTTTTCTGTTTGCACAAGGACTCTGAATTCAAAGCAGCTGTAAAACCTGCTAGTTTTTGCAAAAACTGTAAAACTGCAAAAGGTACTTAAAAGAGGAAAATGTAAGGCATTCTTTCTTACATTTTTTCTAAGCACCCCATGTTACCTAGGATTCTTTCAGGAATCTGAGCTGCCCTACTGAAAACTGGGGAGCAGACAGAACACAGCTCCCAGCCAGCAAAGCAGGACTGCTTTATTCCTAACCTGAAATGCCCAAGTTTATAAAGACTTCAATCTCCTAAGCTCACTCACACCTGAGGACAAGTTGCAGCAGGACGACTTTAACAGCACTAACAACACAGTACTGTCACAGGGCAGAGGCTCACTCCGTTCATCCTTTTCTCTTCCCTCCTCTGCTCCAGCTACATGCTCACACTGCAACTCCCCAGCAGCTCTGAAGCCTTCCAGACCACTTGAGTGTAACAACTGCCACCAACAGACTAGTATAACTTCCTGTGAGGTTAGCAAGTAGGAAAGAAAGAAAATGAGAGATGGAGAACAAAGGAGTACCTCAGAGCACAGCCCAAAACAGGTGGGATGGTGAATTACTGTCTGACACGTTCAGCTCTGCCCAACTTTGATGCATTTACACACAAATGGAAATCAAATAATCAAAAAACCAGAAATGTTTATGCACTAACCTCTTGTTATTCTTGCAATCTGAGCAGTTATCCACTTCCAAAATGAACTGGAAAACAAAAGAATTAACAGGTAAACATTGTTATGAAAAATACTCTGCAAGTGATTAGAAAAACAGTAGAGAAGTGTAGAGAACAGAAAGGCCCACACATCTGGGGCCACTGAGTAAAGCAGGAGCCAAACCTGTGATGCCCCAAGGAGCACACATGAGATAGGAAGACCCCAACACCCTGCAGGCAGTTTTGCACTGTTTGTATAGGAAATGACACCCTGTGCCAGTGCTACCAGCTTACGGCTTTTTTTTCCTCTGCTGTCTCTGAACTTCTCAATCTGCTGGTCAAGAGCAAATCCCAATAATAATTAGAACCCTCATGAAAAACCAGGAGGTAGAAAACACAGCTGAGATACCATAAAACCAATAGTTACCTGTAAAAAAAGTGTAGTACCAGCGATGCAGCGCTACAGACAAGGAGCCACCCCAGGGCCCAGCCCTTCTAGAGGGACATTACCATGCAGAAAAGATGGGCTTGGTGCCTTCAGCACCTCGCTGCCATCCCAAAGGAAGGAGGGCCGTGTCAGCCCTGCCAGCACGGCCGTGCGATGGGGCAAGCACAGAGATGCACTGTGAGCAGTTTGATGGGAACATGACAGCTTACATCCGGTGCACAGGCAAAACCAGACCACGTTATAGCACTAAACAGGACACAACCTAAGCTCTAATTAGAACACGGGCAAGGAGTTTATAGACACTGCAATCCTTGAGCACCATTTCTTTCCTCCCATCAGTAACTGAAAATTAAAAACAGATCCAACTGGCTTATGCAATTTTACCGTGACCGTACCGACTGAATTATTCAGACCCAACTCTGTGTTGACATCACTCCTCCCACAAACTCCAGTTTCACCCGGGCCAGGGGCAGTTCATTTTACAGGGAGATGTCCTTAACCATTTTATGACTGGAAAGCCACAGGCGCCCACCCGATGCAGGTGTTAGAGGGTGGAAGAAGGAAACAACAGGAAGCGTGACTGCGAGGTCTGCATGCCTACCTGAGAATGCAGAAACTAAACCATGAGATTCCATTACCAGGCTGCTCAGATGGGGCTCATTCCCACTGCTCAGACAGAAAACCTTGATCACGTTGGCTTTGTACACAGCAACATGAAGACAGTGTTATGTGCACACGCACTCTTCCATCACACAGTTCCCAAAGAATTTCATTCAGGTGGATTTACTGTTGGCAAAACCAGCACCGGATCTGGGATGCAGCCAAAGTAACACCAACCCTTTCCAATAAAGGAAGGGGTTTTTTAAAGAACTTACGCTTTAATAACTATATTTTTAAGGCTTTACTTGTTTCCCTAAGTAAAGAAGGAAGCAGAGCAACACAAGGGGACTGCTTCAGGCAAACGCCCCATGAGAAGCACCAAACCCCAGCACTGCGCTCCAACAACTGCACCGACGCACTGCATGCACACAGCTCAGCCCCACGGCAGCCAGCTGCCCACAGCCCCACTCGAGGGCACTTTGATGCATTTCTGACCCCTGCAGGTGCGCCCCAAAGCCGTGAGCTCTGCCAAAGCCTTGTGACCAGCTGTGAACTCAAACTGGCATCAAACTGGACGGAAGTTCAGCTTGTTCTCAGTACACTGACATTCATTATCCACATTTTACTTAATTGTAATGTTCTCGGGGGGCAATTAAAACATATAACTTCTTAGAGACGTCTCTGCAGATGCTGTTTGCTCTCCCTGCTGCAAACAGAACACCGGCGTTCCACCAAAGCATGGTGTGCTGCATCGGCTTCCTGAAGCCCGGCTGGCAGAGCTTGGAATGCAGCTCCTCACCCCAGCAAAGCACCACCACACTGCCTGTGTGCCGCAACCTTTGCAGATGTTCCAGGTGTGTGAAGAACACTGAACAAGTCACTACAAAATAACTGTCTGCCTCCTCAGCCATTTACACACCCTGTGCTTATTTCTGCGAGTTGCAACTGTGTCAAACGGGCTCACCTGCAGATGTACACTATAACAAACTCTGTATGCTACAGCAGGATACGTCCTGACAATTCCATTTTGCAGGGATTTAAGAACATGTAATGTCACGCACCGTGAGCCTGCTCAATTACACAAACATGGGTTAAATCACAGTTTTATCTTGCAGAATCTGAGCCACGCTCCTCCCTCCTGAAGGAACCAGCTCCCATCAGGAGCCAGAGCTTCATAACACGTTCCTAACTCCCCAGCTCTACAGACATCAAGGCATTTAATACCCAAATCAGACTCTTTGTATGCCTAATGCTACAAGCAATGAAAACTCTACAGTCCAAATTTACAGATGGACTTGTTTTCGCCTGAGGGAGAGCAAAACTCAATTATTTCTCCACAGCTCTACAACCATAAAGAGACAAATCTGGCTTGCCAAAGAAACACACAGAGAAAAACATTAGATCTTCACAGAATCACCAAGGTTGGAAAAGAAGTTTCCATAACAAGATGTTTTATTCTTGTAAATTATACCCAGGCATGAAGCTTACTTAACAGCAGATAGAAACCAAGTTCTGAATGTCTTTCAACTCACACCACAGAGAAAGGATTTACACAGCTGAGCAGAGCGGCACAGCGCCTGCAGAGGGCTGGAAGCTGAGTCCAGAGGGCAGAGATGCTTCTGTTCCCACCCAACCTCCTGAGCCACTCTCTCCTGCAGTGTGGCTGCTCCATGTGTGCCGTGCCCCAACCACGCACTGCCCCACTCAGTGACCATCCAACTCCCAGTGAAACTCTTCTGCTTTTTCTGCATTTGCAAACTCTCGCATGCATCCACAGGTGGAAGTTTTTATGGATTTTAAAGCTCACGACATCTATCTGAAAGGCACAGATAGCTCAATACCCATTAGGGGTATGCGCTTCCAGGTCTTCCCAGGTGAAACATTTATCTGTCATTTCCACCGAGGAAACATAAAGCTAAGAAGCAGAGCCCGCATTCACGCCATTCGCACTTTGCTAAGTCACCGGGGGCTGCGTCCAACTCCCACCGCCTGAGAGCACCGGCACAGCCGAGCACCCTCAGCTCACTGCTCCGGATCGAGCTACGATATCACTTCGAACCACCAATCGACGCGGTAAGTCGCACCCGAGAGCCCTCACAAGAAAATGTAAAAGCACAGAAGGAGAAGAGCGCAACAACGCGGCGCGCCGCTCCCATAAGGCCAGGCCCCGCGGAGCTCAGCCCACCGCCGGCTGCGGGAAGGACCGTGGTCCCACGCCGCACCGGGTGCCGGAGCTCGGCCGCGCCGCGCCCATCCCCGCGCACGAGGCGGCGCGCCGCCCGCATCCCCGCGCCGCGAAGGCCGGGAGACCCGAGGGGGCGACCGGAGCCCCGAGAGCCGCGCCCACGCGGGACGCCCGCGGAGCCTTCCGCTCCCCCCGGGCCGCGCGATGCCGGCGGGCCCGACCCCACGCGCTCCCCGCTGCTCGGGCCCCGCCGCCTCCCCCGAGCGCGGCTCGGCGCTC